GATCTTGGCAATTCTGTTATTATTACTCTCTTCTTGGTGATAAGAGTAATTGTTAGTTATAATACCCTGCTTCGTGACCTCGGTATTATAGTTACTTAATAATTAATCCTGCTTTGTGATCTAGGTTAAGTTATTAAATTCTTCGTGAATTCGTTTAGTTTCTTGGTGAAACCTTGTTGTCTTTGTGACTTAGCTAGTAAATCCCTTATAAAACCTCATACCTTAGCCTCTTTCGATCAAATCCACCTTACCCAAATCCTTCTTATCATTACTTTATTCATAGTAATACCCACCCTGCTGTAGTTAATTGTTATAGTGTTTAAAATCTATAAATACAATTCCTACTACCAGTCACTTGGTTTTCTTTGATTTCTTTAGAAGGTAAACCAAGGTTAACAACGTGTGGTGTGAGTGTGTGCAATTTAGTAGCAATAAGGCTTTGCAGGAAAATAAGAGTATACATATATTGTAATTTTATAATGCAATTGCATGTATATTAAGTATACTGCACAAGTAGATCATAGAAAAATTTTTGATGTTTTATCTATCTTATTTAAATGTCAAGCTAATTTTTATATTTTACCATACTGCCAATTGTCAAGGGTGAAGATTCTTATTGGTAGAGTAAACATTATAATTAACATAAAATTTTTAATAACAAAAACAATAATAATGTTTTATTTCTGATAATTTTTTAGATGGTTCAATTAATCATCATCAACAAAAGAAAAACTTGGAAAGGGCTCGAATTTGATAAAGTTTTATGTCATCACTTGATCAACATACATTATCAACTGCACCAAGTCATATTTTTGTTTTTATTAAAAATGGATCTGAGTGATCCAGTAGTTTCTTTGTAAAAGAATGCCTAAACATCCACATCCACTTTATTTATTCATGCCACAACAGTTAAACATTAATTTAATATTACCAATCAGAATAAATTAAATTAGATTTATTTATCCCATGGGTACTATGTATACACCAAGGTTCAAAATACCACGTATTCTTCATACTTTATTAATAAAATCATATGATTGAAAATTCCTGAGATTTGGTAATTTAAAGAATATTTTTAAAACTGCTATTGACCAGATCAGAACTTTGTCATATAAATTTTTTTTTTCATTATTTGAACTAGAATTCGATTAAATTAATACCTTTCTACAAATTTAAAGCTTTTATACATTAATGTAATTTAAATTACATACTTAAAAATGACAATGAAAATGATAATGGATTTCTTTTAATCTTATTATTATATTTATAATTAATAATGTCTTGGTAATTTGATGGAAGGTAAGAAAACTGATCATATATCACTCAAAGGTGTAGATCTTTTATGTAAGGGCTGAGGATTGAGTGGTGAGTGTTGAATATTGGGAGGTTTAAGAATGTGTGATGATTTATCGGATGAAGTTGATTTGGGTACTGGTGGCTTAAATGGCTCAAATAATTTGGCTTTGTATGATATTCTTGAATTGTAAGATAGTTTTGAATGATGTAATCATTTATTTACTTGTTCATATCCTTGTTCACGTGCCTTTCTTTACAACCTTCATCACAACTTTCTTCACACCCTTGTTCACATCCTTCTTTATACCCTTGTTCATGTTCTTGTTCATGTTCTTGTACATATAATTGTTGTTCATGTTCTAGTACATATAATTGTTGTTCATGTACTTAATTATGTGATGATTCATTCATGTAATAATTCATGCAATGGTTGTTTAATAGTTTATATAAATTTAGAATTTAATTTGAATTTAAAAAAAAAAATTAATAAAAAATTTTTTGATTAAAAAAAATAATAAATAACATTTTATCAATTATACATTCATCAGAATCTCTTCAAAATCTAAATAATTCGTGCCATCACCAGGAAAATAATCAAACTCTTCATAAGGGATATCATCAAAATCTAAAGGAATTAACATTAATGTATTACAAAGCTTCTGATCTTCACTAGGATTATTATAGACACGAATCCCTTCACGACTACGATAACCTGAAAATTCCATACATTCATCTTCTGGTACATTAAGATCTTTAAGTCGCTGAATTTCAGTACATCATAAGGAATGGTTACAAACTTTACGTCCATTATCAAGATTGATGCCCGTAATATTTGCTATCTTTGCCATCATTGTGTTTAATTTATTCAATCCTATACGATTCTTTTTAAGTCAGATACCTTTTTTTTATCTAATGCAATAAACATATTATAATATTAATAATAATAAAAAAAATATAAAAAATATAAAAAGGATTAAACAAAATTAAAAAAAAAAAAAAACTTGCACCTTTTTCTGCTCGAGTTGTTTCTAAAAAGAATGAAGCACATGCACTATCAGGACATAAAGATATAAAATATAAATATCTTTAAATGGTTTAAAAAAGTTGTTTACTTGATCCGAAGGAATAGGTATTTTTGAGCCGAACTTTTTTCATCTTTGTTTCGTTTTAATGCTCCACGTTGATTATTTTTCTCATGATTGAATGTTAAATAAAGTCCACCATCATTGTGACGAGAGATATTATTAAAATTAATTCTTTCAGCATCACCATCACGAAGACCACATATGTATACAAAAAAAAAAACTCTTCGTGTTAAACTTTCATTAGTATCATGTTGCATTATTTTATGGTCAAGTATATGGATAATTTCTTCAGTACTAAGTGGAGAAGCTTGTTTTATCACACCCAATCCTTCATTCTGAAGTTTCACAGAGTCTTGCTGAAACGATAGGAATTCCATAAATTACAAGGCTGAATTATACTATTTCTTTTAAATAAATAGCTATAGATTCATAACAATTATGTATGCTTTCTGCTTTATAGTCCTTTCCATCTAACTGTTTCAACCATGTAAGAAATCTAAAAAGAAAATTATCTAATTCAGGTAGTACCTCTATTTTTTCAATACTTTTTTCATAATTATAGTCTCTTGAAAACGTTCTACTGAACGTAACCACTTGGTAATGCATTTATCAGTGTTCTCAACATGGGAGATTCTTGACCAGTAGGTGCAGAATTATTTCCCATTTTTTATTATAAAAAATTAATCTGTGAAAAAAATGATCGATCTAAGAATTTTAAATAATTAACAATTATGTAATTTTTACCAATTACGAATAAAGTGGTCACACCGGTGTATACGTCATACCCATGGGATAAACTAGTTATTCAATTCACGGAATACCCATTGAATAACAAGTAAGTATAATATGGGCTGATTTCGCTCCACTAAATATGTTTATATCACATTTTAAAAAAGTATCATTTATTAGTTCATTTTTACATGTGATAATTACATTAAATGTCAAATATTTCGACATAGAAATATTTATTTTTTACAATAAATAAGCTTTCTTTAAAATTAGAGTCTATAACTTTATATGAACCAAATATTAACTTTCTTTAAACCTGTAATACAAGAATTATAAAATAATAAAAGTTACTACAACAGTTAAAACTACTATATATATGTATTTAAATAAGCTAATCTTCAATCTGCTAATGATCTGAAAATATAAATATTCTGTATAGTTTTGTATTTTGTGTTAAATACATTTACTAATTCCTAACTAATTCCTAGCCAATTCCTCAAGCCAATTGATAATATCTTTCAAAGTAATAAAAAAACGCGAAAATATGAATTTTATTTTTTACTTGAGAGATCGCCTCTCATTATTTGTTTAATTTTTTTGTTACAGATGTAAAACGACTTTGTGGATCCAAAATATCTCTTATTTTATGTGACAAAATCGAATTGAGCCATATGTTCATATTTATACTACAATTTTAATGATTTAATTGGTTGATCCCTTATAACGAGACATGATTGATTGGCTAAATGTCACTTGATTTGCTTTATCGGAGACTACAAATATATTACATTAAACGTTTGATTATTCATTCGTTTACTATCATTTATACAGTAATTCCTTTTTAACTTTTTCCGATATTTAGTAATTATCATTTATAATCCGTTCTTTCTCTTTTTTAACTTTTTTCGGATATTGGTGGATTATTATTTATTAGAGATACGAATATTAATAGCAAAAGCAACATCAATGGTTCAAAATATTGGTTATAATTTTTATTTAATTATCACAAATCATTTACTTCTAATTATATGATTCCCTAACCCCTGCGGCATGAGATATGGTGCTCAACACTGGCGTGATATAAAGTTTTCGATAATCTTTATTATCGCTGCCATTATCATTGTTATCATTATTATTAAAACAATTCAATATAGCTGAAAAGTTGTTAAATTAATATACACTATCAATTCTAAATTACATTAAATAAAATATATATATTAATTTAATTTTTCTTATTTGAATTATCATTTTATCATTTCTTTATTATTATATGGGTGGACTATTAGATCATGATGATGTATTAATCATTATCAGTGACATTATTATAGGCGAGTTGTTAGAGGGTTGTTGATTTTTGCAGGAGTTTTTTTATTGGTCTAAATGCTTATGAATTAGCAATGACGATGATGATTATTTACTAAAGTTGTGATAAAATATTCAAAATCCAATTAATACCATTCATTTTTATGTTTAGACAAAAAAGTGAAATCAGCAACCTCCACAATATTAACAAATATTACCACAAGTAAATAATAATAATAAATCTATAAGTAATAATATTAAAAGCAGTAATAATGATTTTGATGGTCATCATCAATTTTGATAATACGAATATATCAATTTTTGATTTTTATAATAATTATATCAATTATTATTAGGTGACGACTTACGTTTAGTAGTTCCATATTTTTTTGAAATTATTGATCTTTTATCTATATATTAATAAATATATTTTCTTTTAAAATGTATTTTCGTCATTTGTGGTTGTAGGGATTTTTAGTAAAACTAATAACGTATTGGACGTGCGCATTATAGTAATATACGAAAACTTTAATTCTCTATAATGAAAAATGTTTAATTTTATAAAATTAATTATTAAATAAACTAAGCGTGTACCATATTTACCTATTAAATGAGCATACAGTGGTTCGAATTTGATCGATGTCATTATTATTTTTGAAAATAAAAAAATAGATTCATTGCTTTTTTATTTACAGTGTACAAAATATTTTTCAAAATATAAAATACTAGTTTTCATTTTCAAAGAATTAATAATTGTAATAAATTTTTTATTTTTATACCTAAATAATAATAAAAAAAAGTCTAATTTTTCATCTATCTTTTAATGATAATACAATTTTAAAAAAATTGCAAAGAGAAATGTCTGATAATGTATTAATAATGTAATTCCACATAAAATTAGAATAAAAAATGCCCTTACTATTTTTATTCATAGCAAATTTCATAATTTGTTATATATAAAATGAAATTAATGAAATTTTAAAACCCCTTCTTTCATCACCGCTTAGTTTAATAAATAACACCAAAATTACTTTATGATGGAGTTTTTAATGTTTTAAAAAAAAATAACAAAAAGTATCCATTCTGTATTTAGCTGAGCATCTTGAATAAATTTATCAATCGTACTCGCCAATTTATCAGAATCATTTCTGAGTTGTACGAATAAGATTATATTCTTAAAGCTTTTTGTTTGCTAATAGTACTTTTTTAAAAAAAAATTGTATCTAAATATATGTTTCGATACAATGAAAATTGTTTTTGCTTTGAATGAGTAACCTAGTACAATGATTAATATAATGAATTAACCTATTAAAGTAAACCTTTTATATTTTAAGTTTACATTCTAATATTATCAAATATATTTTGTTGAAAGGTAAAATTTATTTATTATTTCTTTGAAATTATTTCCTTTAAAAATAACCTATAAATTTAATGTTGTCCTTTCAAAAAAAAAAAAAAAAAGAAAGAAACCGTTTTATTAAGAAGTAAAATTACATAAATCAAATTATTTATCAATGCGAATAAATGAAATGAGAGAACTAGCCTGAGTTCTTTTTCACGTTTTAAGTCCAGAAATGTACAAAATATTTTTTTTATCATAATATTGCATTTGTTTCTTGAAAGCTTTACATAATTAATTTCTACTAATTTGTTAAATTCCGTTGACATTATTTGCTTATTTGATTAATACTACGATCCAAAATTATTTTTATTTTAAAATAAATCTTTATCTCATGAAGTATGCAATTTCTTTTTCAAATATCTGTCGTAACAAATATCTGATATAGGTTTTTAATACGAATTTCAAAATTACGATAATATTCATTGCAAATAAAAATGACAAAGGATTAGATGCAGTGCGCCAAAAAAAAAGTTTATTAATAAAAATAGCCATAATCATCTTCACAATAAAAAAAAATTATAATTGATATTTATTTTAACTATGAAATTATCGTATTTGTAATTTCTTCTAATAATTCATTGGAATCTGTATCCCCATTTTCTTTTGCTTTACATAACTTTTACAATAGTCCCAACCCCTTCATATCAGCATAAAGGGTTAGCAGATGTCTAAATAACTTATATGACTTGATGAAAAATGAGCAAATGACAATGGGCCATTTCACATCTATTTCAAATGACTAAGGTCATTTTAATTTGACCAATCATATATATGTATTATTTATTAATTGTAATAAGAATTATTATTATTGTTAAGTTCAACATAAACTTTTATTGCTTGATTTGAATAATAAAGCTACGTATCACCTAGTTGCAGACACTTTTTTCAGTTGGTTTTAAATTATTATTATTCCATAAAGTGTAAGTTATTCAATTATTTTTTTTTAAAATTTTTTTAATTACTTACGTCTAGAACTTCTATATTATAAAAAGTTTTTGAAAAGATCTAAATTAGTTCTGGAGATCTTTATTATTAGCGGGTCAAACAATTTTTAAGTTTGGTACTGTACTTTTGGTCACCTGATTTTATGGATATAATTGGCATTTCAAATATTGTCCTATTTTTTGTCAAATCACGTTTATTATGTGATACTGATTTTGTAATTTTTCTTACTTGAAGTACCAATCTATTTAATAATATCCAAATTTAAGCATAATATTTACCTTGCTTAGTGATGTGATACCATAGAATCAATTTTCGATGTCTTTTTATCTTTGTTGTTAATATTTTATTTTTCACTATTTTAATTAAAAGCTAAAATTACACGTGAAAAATTAAACAATTTAAAATTATTAAAAATAGTTAATAAAAAATCAGAATGTTTTTATTTGAAGTTATGCATTACAACCTATTTACATATTACAAATTACTAACAACAATGGTCAAAATTGCAACTGCTTAGGTAATGACTTTTGTATATATAACGTGCATATTCGTTTCCTTTTCAACAAAATTCGTACACATCACGCCATTATAGTCTTACGATTTTTTTTAATTAATCCACAATAATCAATGATCGGCTCTTAATAATATAATTTTAACGTTAATAAAAAATAAAAGGATCCGGGAAGGAAAAATTTTTTATGAAATCATTCTATAATTGAAAAATTCTATTATTTTAAGTATTAAAGATGTATTTCTCAGTTAAATTTATTTTTTACGTTATTTTTTTAATTGGTTCAATTTTATGCTATGATCCACCTGATAGAACTCAACATAATAGTGTAATAATTAATAATCAACTCTTAGTCTTTGCTGGATGGAAAAATCAAAGCTCATCTCCAGTAGTAACAGATAAATTAACTTATTTGGATTTGTTAAAACCATTTGAAATTACAAACTTATCGTGGACTTTAGTTACCGATGGGAATCTTCCTATTTATACTTGGTCTTCAACTGCTATTGTTTTAAATAATTCTACAATATTTCA